TCAGACAGTATTTTATTACACTCTGCATTGAGTCGCTGTGACGTGGGAGTCTACTCAGTGGCTGATTTAAAGGCATCTGACAACAACAGCTATTATTCTAACATTATTTGTCTCTTCCTGTTCTAAGTTCAATTACTCCACTAACACATATTTCAAAATCAAGGTATTTAATGAGGCAAGATAGCTCCTTCCCATAAAATTACCATATGAGAAGAATTGCAGAAGATTGGCAAAAGGGATTGTTGCAATAGGTACCCACTTAATGTTTAAAAGCACATGTCTTTATGTATTTAAGAAGTTTTCTGAAAGAAAACACAATTAACAGTGTTTGCCTTTGGGTAAGGAGTTTAGGGAAATCAATTAGGAGGGAGACTTCTTTTCATTATATTAACTTTCATAGTTGCTTTTTTTTTTTACTATTTTATACATGTTGGTTCAGAACAGATTATGAATAACATTTTGAAGAATGGGAATTCCAAAACACTTCATTGTACTCAATGAAGTACAATGAGGCCATTGTTAAAACTAAACAAGTATTTACTGTGTAGTTTAAAATCAGGAAAGGCGTACTTCAAAAATACGTATTTTACCATACTAGTCAATCTGTATGATGAACAAATAGTCTGCGACGCTAAACCATATAAACAAGAAAGTTGCATAAGGAATGAAAGAAGACGTATTATCAACCTGTGATATTCAGATGACAGCCTTATTTGCTGAAAGTGAAGAAAACTAGAAGCACTTACTGAGGAAGGTCAAAGACCACAACCTCCGTGTGGATCGCACATTAACATAGAGAAAACAAAAGTCCTTAAAACTGGACCAATAGGAAACATCATGATCAACAGAGAAAAGATTAAAGCTGTCAAAGATATCCACAAGGAACACTCAAGGAAACTGCAGTTAAGAAATCAATGAGTTTGGGTCTCTACTCAAATACTCCCTCGACCCAAGCACACTTTGTTCTATTAACCTTGCATTCCATGATGCTCACCTTCCCAACACGATCACTGAAGACAAAAATGGGTGCAAAAGCAAATGTGGTGAAGAAAGCTGATGGTGACTGGCTAGCAAAAGATATACCATCAGGGGTCTTAAAGGCTTGAAGATAAACAAGCGACCATCTAGCTGAGAAGCAACAAAGCCCACATGGAAGCAGCACACCATACTGTGTGATCACGAGGTGTTGATGGGATCAGGTATCTGGCATCAAAGAACAAAAAAAACCATATCATTGTGAATGAGGGGAAGTGCTGAGTGGAGACACAAAGCCCATCTGTAGGCAACTGGAGATCACCTTACAGAAGGGTTGCAGGGAGGAGACAAGCCAGTCAGGGTGCAATATAGCAAAAGAAACATACAACTTTCCTCTAGTTCTTTAATGCTTCCTCCCACACACACACTATCATGATCCCAATTCTACCTTACAAATTTGGCTAGACCAGAGCATGTACACTGGTACAGATAAGAGCTGGAAACACAAGGAATCCAGGACAGAAAAACCCCTCGGGACCAATAGTGAGAGTAGCGATACCAGTAGAGTAAGGGAAAGGTGGGGTAGAAAGGGGGAATCCGTCACAATGACCTACATATAACCCCCTCCCTTGGGGATGGACAAAAGAAAAGTGGGTGAAGGGAGACACTGGTCAGTGTAAGACATGAAAAAATTAAAATAATTTATAAATTATCAAGGATTTGTGAGGGAGGGAGGGTGAGAGAAGGAGGGGGAAAAATGAAGAGCTGATACGAAGGGCTCAAGTAGAAAGAAAATGCTTTGAAAATGATGATGGCAAAAATGTAACAATGTGCTTGACACAATGGATGGCTATATGGAATGTGATAAGAGTTGTATGAGCCCCCAATAAAATGATTTTTAAAAATAAATAAATGAGTATTGCATTGGGCAAATCTACTGCAAATGACCTCTTGAGTTTGTCACTTTGAAGACTAAGGGGCACCCGACCTGAGCCATGGTATGTTTAATCATGTCATATGCGTCTGAAAACTGGACAATGAATAAACCAAACTGAAGGAGGGTTGATGCCTTTGAATTACATTGTTGGCAAAGAATACTGAAAGTCCCATGGACTGCCAGAACAAACAAACCTGTCTTAGAAGAAGTATAGGCAGAATGCTCCTGAGAAGTGAGGATGGCAAGATTTCATCTCATGTACTTTGGCAGGAAATCATTTAAAACATGCATTCATGCCCAAGAAAGGCATTTGTATAATATTTTGTTGGTCGCCTCCTCCAAGATGCCTTTCCTTTCTGCCCTTCCTTTACCTCGCTCTAGCTAACAGTTTAAGTATGTTTGAGAAGGGGATGGGGGGGGGGGATCTGTTGAAATTGGAAGATCCTGAAACAATACATGCTCAATGGTGGTTTTTCTGGGCCATCTTCTTAGCACTTGTTACTTAAATCTTCACCGGATTTCTGGCTGATTAAGAAACAGCCTTTGTTTTCCTCTCCTTGTTAGATGTGTGAATTGGGAAACAGATGCACATGGATTTCAGAATTCCCTCTGTCTCTGAGAGGGAGCCAACAGTAACCATTCAGTCATGCCAAAGCACACCCTGCACATTTGAACTGCATCCCTGTGATCTTTAATGGAGAACTACAACTCGAGACCAAATACCAAACTCCAATTTTATCAAAGGCCGTTCTTAGGTTTTCTTGTCTTTATAGAGAGTGATTCATCCCAGAAACAGTGTCTGATGTCTTTACTTGCATCAAGCAGTCATACCCAGTAGTCAGTGACGGTAAAATTATTTGTTAGTTGTGTGGAACTATCAAAGCTCAGTGTGGCATGTCTGTGAAGAGTCTTGGACAAGGTTGGACAAGTCTTGACAAGGTTGTCCTTGGACAAAAGTTGGTGTGGAAACTATGGTGGAAGACACCATAGTTATGATGAACCAAAGAAGAGAACAGAGGCAGAGTTGGATTGAAAGAGAAGGACCTTTAGAAAACAACTCAGAAGAAAGGAAAATATATATGAAAACGAAAAAGAGAGAACTTCTGAAGTTCTAGCATCTAAAGACTTAGCCATGAAAATTGAATTACAGAGAACCCATGCTACTAAATTCTCAAAATGGGTGAGGTCTGGTTTTGTTCTCTGAAGCACTGCTTTCAGTGGGTTTATGGTAATGATGTGGGCACTGACAAAAAGTATTAAGTACACCAGAGCCTTCCAGAGGAACAAACAAATGTGTCTTGAAAGAAGTACACCTAAAATTTCCCTACGGGTGTGGATGGCAAGACCAGGTTTCATGTGCTTCAGACATGTCATCACAAAGGGCCAGTCCCTGGAGAAGGGCATCTTTCTTGGTGAAGCAGAAAGCCCAGAAGATGAAGACCCTTACGAGATGCAGCAACACTGGAGCACAGTGATGGGCTTAGACATAGGAATGCTTGTGGGGATGAACTCAGGACACAGTCATGGTTCATTCTGTAGTGTCCGTAGATAAGGTGACCAGATGTTAACATTGATAAAGCAGGACAAAAGCGGGACACCTCTGATAAAACTCATATCCTGGCGAAATAGTCACACGGCAGCCGAAAACCGTATGCCCTAGCTTGCCATGCATTCTTTCCAAAAATTGGGACTTTTAAAAAATGCCGTGGGTCACGGGAAAATTTGTTAAAAATCGGGACTGTCCTGCCCAAAGCTGGACGACTGGTCACCTTACAGCAGGAGTCGAAACTGACTGACTCTACAGCATGCAACAACAGCATGTTAATGATAATATTGACCGTGAACTTGGTTAGAAAATCATTTCTCAGGTAAAACTAAACTATACATCATCATAGAAATGACAGAACAGGAATTCAAAGGAGAGCTTAAAATTACTATAGCAAAAATACTTTGCAAAAAAAAAAGGTAAGTTTAAGTGGTGGTCGTATATAGTCTTATAGTGCCTCCTATTGATGTAAGTAAATTCTGAATCACAAAGCAAAAATTAAAAAGAAATTAATTCACCTTTCCTCTTCAAAAGGAGCCATGGTGACCTAGTGGTTACACATTGGTTTGCTAACTGCAAGGTCAGCAGTTTGAAACCACTAGCTGCTCCTTGGGAGAAAGATGGGGCTTTCTACTCCGTTAAAGAGTTACAGGCCTGGAAACCCAAAGGGGCAGTTCTACCCTGTCCTATAGGCTCGCGATGAGTAGGCATCCACTTGATGGCATTGAATTTGTTTTTTTCCGTTTTACTCTTCAAAAGGAATAATACATTCAGCAGGGACTGCCCTCACCCTCTTGTGTACCTATTGGTGAAATTCATGCTCCTACTGCAAGACCTAATGAGATAAAGCTCAGCAACTCACAGGTAGCTCTTTCTAATTCTGCTCTTGCTACTTACCAGAGCCACGGTGTCCACCTTTTCCTTTGAACAAAGATTTTATTTTATTTCTGTATTTAACAAAGAGTTTAAACCGCCATCACAGAACAGACTTTTCTTCAAATGCTACAGATAGGTCACAGTGACTGCGTTTTTCTATAGGGAGTTTGAGAGTAACACACCCCATCAACTGAACCAGAGTCAACCCCTCACACAAAGGAAACGGTGGCTCGGGTGTTAAGGAAGCAGCTGGCAAAATTAGCACACGTTAAACCACTTTGTTTTTCCAGTATTCTCTGGACCCACTCACTCATAATTGTAGCTCCTTGTCACCCTCCAATGCCGCACGTTGAAAACGACTGGCGTTACCCTCGGCTTCATAGACATGTGCAGAGGTAACTGGTGAAGCTGTCAGCCAGAACTCAAACCTTTGCTCCTCTTGGAAGAGTTATTATAGTTGTCAGTCACAAGGTCTTTCCAGACCAAAGAATTGCTGAGACTGTCAATGATGAAAAATGCAATAGGAATATTCTGTGGTTCCTCCGCTAACGGGGAAGCATAAAGAAGAAGAAACGGTCGAAGTGGAGCCGTGTGACCAACAATAAAGGGTTTGTGTGTCCCACGCCAGTCCTGCCATTTCTGACCACTGCGTCTCCTGTCTTCCAGCTGCTGGCTGGGCGCTGGCCTTTTGACCACAATGACTTCGGCGTGTTTCTCTGCAAGCTCTTCCCCTTTCTGCAGAAGTCCTCCGTGGGAATCACCGTCCTCAATCTCTGTGCCCTCAGTGTTGACAGGTAATACCATCCTTTTCTGTATTCTTAAGTCTGATTTAGAAAAACACGTTGTCTTTTCAAAGACATCCTGAAGAATTGGCGCCCAGGACAGATGTTAATTAGTTTCAAATGCATGCAAACATGAATAGTCTTGCCTCTGCTGTTTATAATTGATTTACACATTTGCTGACAATTAGACATCTTTGGATCAGGCAATTTGCACGTCGAAGGTTTGACCAACTATATCCATTTTGGCACCCTTAGGGCAACCATATTTGATGCAATAAATGGTGCAAAGGAAATGGCCCTCCTGAATTTTTAACTGCAAGTTTATTAGAAAATAGATATCTTGTGCTGAGTGGTAAATATCCCATTGTCTTATGCCCGTCTCTGTGTTCTTTGGAGGGCTTGAAATGTTTCATGATTTTTAATAAGAAGGCAACAACAGAAGCATCACTTGACCCAGTTCTGCAAGTTGTATCAAGTGTGTCTAAGTTGCTGTAAAACTCTCCACAAACCGAATCCGTCTAACAAAGTTCTTCTGAATTCCATGGCCTTCTACATGGTGGACGTGTGTGTGTGTGTGTGTGTGTGTGTGTGTGTGTGTGTGTGTGGTGGGGAGGTTCACCTATACTTCTCAAAGAAGGAATAACAAAAGAATGAGGTTAAGAATTTTATAATGCTGCTATTTTACATTGAATATCATTTTACATAACTGGCATTTAACTAAGAGCCCTGGAAGAGGAGGAGTTACATATTAGGCTGCTAAATGTAGGGTCAGCAGTTCAAAACCATCAGCCAGCTCCTCAGGAGAAAGACAAGGTTACTTTTTTTTTTTCCCAGTGAGGGAGACTCCGTCTGTTTTATTCTGCAATAACACATTCTCTTAGATCACCTAGTACTCTGACAAGTTTGCAATTCTGATGTTTGTCCTTACACATTAGAGAAACACATACTGATTGAAGGCAGAGCCCATGTAACTTATTTATTTTTGTGTCTTATTAGAGCTTAGTTTCTAAGTACTTGGTTTGCAGAAGGCTCTATTTTACAATGGGAGCCCACTCCATTTGGAGTCTATTCATAAATTCAACCTCCATTGAATTCATTGTGACCGATTATCCACAATGTAAAAAGCCTTGGTCAAAGTGTGTTTGGAAATGTATTAACTAGGACTCCCCTAATCAGGTGGGGGAGGGACTTGCCTGATCCTGCCCTTAATGGAAATTTGGGACTCCAGGGTCATAAGTCATACCCTGACCAAAGGGAATGATGAGGGTGGACAGGGCATGGTGCCCCAACAGACTGGACTGGAAAACACTCTTAAAGGCCAGCGATCCTTGAACTAAACTACAAGCTTTTCTTTCTTGGTATATTTTAATGTTTTCTTTGTCAGTGGCTTGATGTTGGTGCTGTTTTGTTGTACATTGTTGCTTGGTTTTGCTCTATCTTGTTTTTGTGCATGTTGTTGTCTCTGCAGGTCTGTCTGGATAGG